GATAAATCAAAAGTGCTTTGGATACACCATTTTTTTCGTTTTGATCAGTAAATGATATACTCTTATTATAACACTTGATTATTAGTTTTCCCAAGATTATTTCTTCGTTTTTTAACTTATCAAATAAAACAATCATTTTGATTTTAATAACTTCTCTATTAGATTTATATATTTGAACATTATTTATCATTTTATAACATTGGATTTATTCATCCTACATGTATATGAAATACATGTTCAAAATAATGATTCGCTTAACAACGGCCCAAACCCTACCCTAAGTATAATTTAATATTCCACGGCGATCTATTTGTATTTGCCACCACCTTTAATATGTATTTTAACTTTGTGTATTAAACTCGACTTTCCGTCTTATAATCCATTCGAATTGACAGTCACACCTGGCACGGTGTGCCCTAGAGGCCCTGTTAATTGTCGATCTGTAAATTACCATATACCTTTTAAAAAGCATTCCACGAGTATTGCCAGAGAATAATACACACATCGTATATACCTAGTCTTAGCGTAGATAGTAAAAGGTCAATAAGCGTACACCTATATATTGTCTTTACTGTTTAAGTTATATACTTTAATTTGTTCACTATATCCGTCGGAAAATGCAGATATTAAAATAAAAATAAAAGAATCACTTTGTGTGCTGTAAACAAAAAGGAATCGGAGTGTGTACGGTAAAAATTTAAAAAAATATCTCATGAATGATCTTCTTGTATGTTGAGGTATCGATTTCATCCATTGTCTGTTCTATTTTTGAGCAATATTTAGATCTTATTTGCTCCAATTCTTTGCAGCGTAGAATAAAATGTTCCAGATCTTCATTTTCCTGTTCACAGATTGTACATATCGGGTTAACTTTCGGATCGAACTTAGCTCTTTTGGCTTGCAATATGTACGTTTGAGTACTTATTCTTGCTTTTATTTCTCCTGGCTTTACATCTTTACTATTGTTTTTTACGCTTTTCCATATATTGTGTGCTTCATTTAATGGATTGTTCTGTATCTCTATGTATTTAAGTGATGTGTTTTCCATTTTTTCATAGTGACATTCATTTTTCCAGTATTCCTAGATCTTTATTCCTACTAGTCTTTTCCATTCGATTTTCTTAAGTGGTTTTTCTATGTAGTAACTACTAGATTTCAAATTTTATTTTGATAGAGTTTTTTCCACTCTGTTGATAAAGTCTTTTCCTCTTTGGTCTGAGAATGCTATTTGTCGACGCAGAATTTCACATTCTATGGTTCCTGAATTTCAAACAATATTCATGAAGAAGGTAAGTAGATTTTTGTCTAATGTGATGGCAATAGGTTCTGCTCCTACCAGGGTATAGACAGCCATATTTGCTGTATTATTTGGAAGCCCTTGAATTTGTCGGAGAATTTTTCTCTCTGCCAGTTCTAGCATATCCTTTTCTTTTGCAAGTAAGTTCATCACCTCAAGTCCGTAGATGCTTCTTGGTACTGCATATGTTCTCCATAGCTTGTATGCGACCATGGGTGAGAATCCCCTTCTGACATGTAAACCGGCTCCGAGAAGGCTGTATATTGTTGCCCTGCCGGTTCTTATTCTTTCAGAGATATTTGCCCGGTTTTGCTCGTTTCTTTTGATACCTAGATGTTTGGTTTCATTGGTTATATTGATGTCATCGTCATCGAATTGCAGTGTTGTTATGTTTGAGCCTTTTGCATTATATAAAACCGCTTCAGATTTAGTTGGATTGATTTAACTAGATCTCTGCTTGTATGGTGCTGTACTATGTCTAATATGCCTTGTGCGTCTGCAGTACTATTTGCCAGGACAGCAATGCCATCGGCACATGTGGGTGCAGGGACTTGTATATTACCAATACATGCTCCAAGTCCACTTTTTAAAATGCTATCCAGTATGACGTTGTTGTAGCATTTATATAGCGTTGTAGATAGTTTTGCACCTTGTTGAATTCCTTGTAACACCATTACATCTTCTGTACATTGACCTTCCCATTTGACCTTAATGCTCATGCCTTTATACATGTTTCTCAGTAGTATCCAGAGTTTTCCTTTTATTCCATAATAGTATAACTTGTTGAAAAGTATTTCATGGTTTAGTTTGTCAAATGCTTTTTCTGCATCAAGAGTTATTAAAATCATCAGTATCTTTAATTTCTTACTTTCTTTGATTGCTTCTGATGTGAGGAAAGCTGCGCATAGTGATGATACTCCTTCTGTAAAGCCTCTTTGCAAGGGGTTTTGTATGTTATTAAATACAGAGTCAACTCTATCCTTCAGTATACTTTGTAATATTTTTGCAAAGGTTTTAGTCACAGTTATTCCTCTATAGCTAGATGGTAATGTTTTGTCTTTTTCTTTCTTTAGGATTGGTGTAAGAATCCCTGTCTTTAGGAAGATTGGTACATCCAGATATGTTAAAATTAAATTTAGCAAATGTACTATAAAGGGAGTTAACTCATCCATCCCATATTTGTAGTGTTCTGCCGAAATTCCATCCTCATCTGGTGCTTTTCCTGCTTTAAGTTTTTCTATAGCTTTATCAACCTCCTTTACATTGACATGATCAATGCCTTGACCTTTTTCCCTTTCTATGGATTCTATTATATTGTTTTGTATTTCTACAAGCTCTAGCTTTTCAGTGTCAAAATTTTCTTCTAATGTTGGCGTAGCTAGTTGTTGGAAATGTTCTTGCCAAATGTTCATTATGCTTGGGCCATCTTCTGCAGTCTTTTCATTCAGTTTCAGTATCTAAAATAATGTCTTATATTGTAATATGCTCTTTGTGAGCCCATGTGATGGAAATAAAACATCCTTTTCTCCTTCTATAGTAAATACTGCTGAAATTGGCGTTAAACACCAACAATCACTCAATCTATTTTCAAAGATTTTCCGTTTTATCTCGTGTTACAACACCAGATGAGAGTACTTATATATTTATATATTATTCCTAGCAATACTATTTATTAGTTCAAAAAGAGATTTTTTTCATTATTTTACTCATCCATTTAATTTTCAACTTGTTTAAGGAAGCGATTAAGCAATGATTTTTTTTGTGTTGATCTTTTCAAGTTTTATAAAGCTTGCAATTTCAAGAAAAACTATGTTATATTTTGTTATACATAGTTTGCACTATATAGCCTTCCCTTTTTTGAAACATACTTCTTAGCTTATTCCGCACTCTCTTATTTAAAACATACTTATTCCGCACTGTACAATGTATTTGTTTTCGATATTCTTTTTGGAAATACATAAGTTGTTTAACTTGGTAAAGTGTTTCTTATTACATGCAAAATTATGTATACAGGTCACCGTACGGTCTCCAACAATGAGCAAAAGTCACATCGTATAGTGCACTATAAATATTCCGACGTGACAAAATGTAAAACAATTCAAACTAAAAACCAACAGCCTGATTTATGACATTACAATAACCGAAAACAAATTTGACAGACAGCAAACAACGTCAACCACTGAGAGTCCTGAATTGGGACATGCACATATAGAATGTGGTGGAGTTAAACACTTTTGAACGTTTCCCTTATCAAAGACAATGGTGTAACATGCAACATGAGAATAAACTGTAAAAATTACTTAGAAAGGGTTTACCTTATCCGATCTGCAAACGATTTAAAAAAAAAACACTTACATAAAGCAAAAAGACACAAAGTACCGATCTTAGAGTACTCGCAGTTACTGAAAGCTAGTTTCAAAATAATTACAACTAATGAATAAATCTTTTTTTTTCTCTTAGGCATACATATCCCACGGATTTAGTGTAAAGACGTCATAAAATAGTCCTGCAAAAAACAACTTGTCCAATGTCAAAACATAAGTACATAATATCGACAGGATTTAGGACTAAAAATTTGATAAATGTAATGCAATTCATATTTAGCTATGCATTTAAAAGTTATTAGAAAAAAATAAAACCAATATCAGTGCCGATAAAAACAACATTCAAAGATCTTACTACGATGTTACTTGATATCCTAAAATATAGGTTTTTATAGATTTCACCTTTTTGAATTTCAGTAGAATAATGTATTATTGTGAGAGTACTAGTTTAACCAAAGTATCACTGAGTTTACAGGGGTTATTTCATAATTTACAGGTCTTATAAATAATGTTACCGTAAAATTATGGATGTGATATTCCTTTTTTGATAAGAATTGTATAGGACAAGCCAAACTTTAAAACCAAATCTTTGTATCTATGAAAGAAACAGGAATTTAAGTTTAGAAGCCATTGGCTTTTGACAATAAACTTATGAAATATGTTGGATGTATGCTATGTTGAAATTTATTTGTGCGACTCTACAAGCATTGGGTCACCATATTTGTTTTCATGCTATGATACAAAACAGAAAATTTAAATGTACATTTCTAAATAAAATCTGGGTTAATTATTCTTTTTAAGTTATAGTTTAATTTTTTTAATCAATCGATTGATTCAATTTTCTTGTTTTATGCCACTTTTTACACTCTTGGCTATATCATGGTAATCAGTTTTATTGGTTAAGGAAGCCTGAGTATCCGATGAAACCTTCGACAGGATACTTGCAATCCTATTAAAATAAGATCAAAGTCGAACGCACATTGTCATAAGCGGAATTAGAACTCGCAACCTAAGTGTGTTGATAGGCTATTAAACACTGTAGACGAACTACCAAGACCACTTGGCCACCGAGGCCCCAAGTCTATCAAATAATGTACAGTTAGTTTATATAAAAGATAAAATCATATAATTTCCTACATTTAAATTAAATGTCTGACAAACGAGTTATATTCCTATCTAAGAAATTGTAGTTTATTGAAATACCGAGACCAATTGTGTTCTGTTATTGATGCACCCAAGATGGTGGAAGACCCCCCCCCCCCCCAAAAAAAAACAAAAAAACCCCAACCCCCTTACACACTACATTGAATAGCTTCTTGTTTGTCTTTGGTAACTGTAAGTTACTCGGACATATTTTCTAAGAAATGAATAAATGAGAGAAAATTGAAAATATTTTATTTCTAAAACAAAAATGAAATTTAGAAGACAGCACAAAAAATGTATTTCTTATAATTCATCAATTTAAACTCATCTTATTTTCAGATTTTTAAGTTTAGATGTCATTTTATTAAGAAACAATTTTATGCATATTGATCTGTATTAAAAAAAATACCTACAGTAGATGTTCATAAACTTTATCGAAACAACATATGTCAGTTAGATTTGTGGATATATAAGTACATGACCGTAATGACTTGATAGGTGTAGTCTGTTTTGTGCACTTTGGACAGTACTATATGGTGAATTAATAGTTCATCTGATCTAATGGCACTGTTGAAACAGTAAAATAAACGTGGTATAGCAGTTGTTGTTCCTCCAGTTTTTTCTCTATTTCAGAAAGGTGGGCTTTTTAGCTCGCTTTACAACTTCCGGTGTACCTCCAGCGTGAACTCGTCGTAAACATTGCATTATCTGTAAATAATCAACCATGAAAGATTCAATTATATCTCAAAATACATATTTCAGTTACCACTATAATTAAAATAAACAACGTGTCATTTTTTATTCAGGAATAGGGAGTACTTTCGATACGTTTAATTTGATTTAAGTGCCAGTATTTGTAAGAAGATAAGAATCAGGCAATTTAGAAAAATTCGAAACATGGCAGAAAAAAGACCCACCGACTTAACCACCCTATTTTGAAGGTACCCTCATCCTGAGTTAGAAATGATAGGTCTTTCGTTTCTGCTTGTCTAGTAATTCGGGAAATATCTGACTAGATAAATTTTGGTTAGAATGATAGCAAATTACGGAGTTAGCTCCCCTTAATTGTTAACTTTTTAGTGCATTTCAACCAAATTATATCTTATATTACCAGAACAAGGAAAGGAAATGAATGTTATATTCATCCCACCATTATACATTCTGAACTTAAATTAATACAAAGCTGAGCGGGTTTTTGTTTGTCATGTTTTCACCACTGCCTGATTCAACTGGCAGTTTGGCACTTTATTAGATATGCGCTGTGATTAAAAACAATAACCACGATTCAAGGCAAAATATTGGTATACAATATAAGACACTACACACAAGGAATAGTGGCATTCGGGACCTTTATGGCAAAACAATGGAGTTTTAGTGAACGTTTACAGTGTCATCATATCAAAAAAAAATATTTCTCAAACGTTTTTCTGGACCTCTCTTTGGTCCTTTTTAAATTTTTATTTTCTGTAAACTTTAATTTTGAAAGACATTTTTATTAATTTTTTATTCCTCTTCAATTATTTTCCATTCTGTATCTATTCCGTAGCACTCAATTATTCTCTATTCTTTTTTCTATTTCACTTTTGACCCTTTTTCTGATCAGTGATGTTTGACCATTATTCTCTAAACCACACCAAGACCCTCGTACATTGAGACAATATTTTATTGAATATGACATATACGTGTAATTACAGCTTATAATGGCTCTGACTTTTAAAATTATGTTTACTATAAATATTGCTTCGCATCACGGTGCGGAGCTATTAGTTTCAGTTGACATACACGCCATCTTGATATAATAACTTATCACATATAGATTCTGATTGGTTGCTTGATGATGCGGCTGAGATACAGCAACAGCTATTGGCCTAAATGGGATAAAGAATAACAGACTTTTCTCGTCTCAGGATAAGATATTAAATGCCGGAATATTAACTATGTGTATTTCAGTTCCGATCAACTGTCTTCAATTCACGTTCGTTTTATTATGCATATATTGAAATATCAACTATTAATACGTATTTACTTGCTTTGCCAATCTGCAATATGCACGATTTGTTTTGCTAAACAATGTTCCTATACAAATTAATTACAATGTTTATAAAAATGCATTATCTGTAGTTTATAACTTCTGCCTATCTAGGCACACCTCCAGAGAGGCTCACCCATAACGCACACTCTTAAAGTAAATCCATTTTATATCAATCAATATCTAAAAATACCACATTTCTAATACTAAATCATCAACCACGTGCACACATATTCCCTTAAATTAGGGTAGAGCGAAGCAGTCCACAGCTTTTAAGAAAGCTCAAACTTGTCTCAATTACATTTGAACAACAAACGTATCATTCTTGTGCCTCGGTCTTACATGTATCTGCGTGCTTCGAGTCTTACTGAGTAAACAGTTTCATGCATCAAAACAGATTTCGATGGGTTTTTTTCCGTTGACAGATTTCAATATTCATTTTTTTCCATTATTTTGATATGGAAATGGATCTTATATGACTACATGGATCATAAAAATCAAGAATTTATCAAGAGTAAAAATACTATTATGTCAGATTATAGAATACTAGTAGACTGGTTCCCTGTCCTTTATCTGTTTGGCTCTGACAACAAGGGTGACTCAGATACCTGTATGTTGCAAGGGAGAGAACTAGCCTTAACATACTAGGTACTTACATCGTCATTATATGGATAACCTCCGAGCTTTAGTTTTGAGAAAACGAGATGACCTTCTACTGTAATTTCATATGAAGCTACAATAAAAACTTTCTTATATATGATACACAATTTGCAAGACAATAAGTGATAAGAAATTAGTGGAAAAGCAAGCTTGTCAGGCCCGTAGCTACGTTTAAGTAAAAACGCCCGGGCGTACACATGAATTTTGGAGAATATAGTAGTTAATCTAAATAAATCAAAAGAATTGGTTAAAAGCACATGAGCCTGTTATTCTTTCTTCAATGACTTGTAATAAGTGACGAAATTTAATTTTTAATCAAATGTTATCATGTTATATATTTGTTCATTTTCTGTCAAAGTCTAAATTACTTTTTTCTGCTGTAATAATACTGACTTTGTACTTCAAATATATTTGATTTCTTAAGTATTGGCTGTCAATCTTCATGCTCTCTGGTTCAAGCATTTAATTGCATATGCAGTGATTTATACAATTCTGGTAACTTTTATGCACAGTATCGTACTGTACAAACCTTTACATATGAGTGTTTGACTGAAGTTTTCTTTATTATATATTTCTTGAAGCTGAGCTACGATATGTGGTTTGCATTTTTATATTACACCTGACCATCTATGAAAATTAAGTGACCACCGTCATCAGGTTGACTATCCTGTCACTTATTGTTGTGCGCATGAATAATATGAAGTCGAAAATAGTTAGTAGAACGACAACATTAAAATGAAGATTTACTTTTTAGCTCACCTGGCCTATAGGGCCAAGTGAGCTTTTTTCGTCACTTGGCGTCGATCGTCGTCCGTCTTCGTTAACTTTACAATTATCTTCTCCTCTGAAACTATTGGGCCAAATTAAACCAAACTTGGCCACAATCATCACAGGGTATCTATTAAAAAAAAATGTGTCCGATGACCCCGCGTACCAACCAACATGGCCAACATGGCTAAAAATAGAACAAAGGGGTAAAATGCAAGTTTTATCTAGTATCTTGAAAACTGCTACAAATAGAGAAAATCTGACAGTGACAAAAATGTTCCGAGAATAATGAGATCTATACCTATTGTCTATTTACACCAAAACTGTCAGACGACTTCTTATAGACGTTTTACCATTTTTTAGTGGTTTTTTTTCCTATTATATTGAACATTATAAAAGATAAGATCTACAAATAAGATACACGGTCGAATCATCAGACGACTCCTTATTGAGTTATTGCCCTTTAATGGCAATTTTTAACATTTTTTGCGTTTTTGACTTATATCTGAAAAAAATATAATAGATAGATAAAAATTTAAATAAGACAAAATCAACAATTTGTAAGTCTACTGGCCGAAATAGTCAGTTCACTCCTTATCGGAGTTCTTGCTCTTTAATGACGATTTTTTCCAATATTTTACGTTTTTGGCTATTATCATGAAATCTATACAAGGAAGAAAGACACTTTATATAGCAATAATGATCCACAAGACAAGTCAAATTTTGCCGAAATAGTTAGTAGACTCTTTAAAGGAATGTTTGCCCTTAAATGGCATTTTTTTTTACCATTTTTTTTTTGGTGTTTTGGGCAAAAACTAAAATAGACAGAGAGAAACTGTAAACAGAAAACATGATCAGCAATACAATTGTCGTTTATTTATGACTAAAGGTCTAGTTTGGGGTTTACAGAATAGAGATTAATTGACCAATTCTGCAGAAAAATTGGCAGAGATATTACCTTGTGCAATACCAAGATACAGGTTAGTTTGATTTTAATTTACTGATCGACAAGTTGACATATTATAATATATAAATTTTACATTCTGGGCCCATTGTGCTCATCACGACTGCATCCGGGAAGACGACAAGAATTTCCTCTTTCAATCTCTCAAATCTTCCACCAGAGCATCAGCCATACCTATATAAATGTGAAGCAACAAAAATAACAAATAGATCGATCAGAGTTGTTCTCGTCCTTAAATTAATGAAACATGAACTGTTTTTTCTTTGAAGTTTTACACGAAATAAAGATTAGGACGTTATGAGTATTAACCTCTTTGGTAAATTACAATTGTTGATGGGAAAATCTGAAAAACACAGTAATAATCACAAATGATATAAACCAAAGACATTTGCAGGTCACTTGTCGACTGAAATGTTCAATTTCACGCTACAAAACAAAGAAAACTCTAAAAGATAAGAGTTTGTTTTCGGTGTATTGAAATTTCTCACTTTTCGTATGAAAATCAGTTTCAAGTTTCATTGACAGACATATAAGATGAAATACACATGCTTTTACATGTATGTGCGTCCTAGGTTACTCCGAATCTTTAGTTAAGAAGTAATTGTTACCAAAAGGTTGTGTTCGTTCAAATAAATACTGCAATTAATTCGAGTTGGGTTCTCTATATAAATGTGACTGTTTAAATCCACATCGAAGCAGAAAGAGCTAAAACATTAAAAGCATTTCGCCTTTATGCCAGGCTAGCCTTGTGAAAACTGGAGACGAGTCTGATTTAAACCAATATTACTGCAAACGTAAGTAGGAAACTGAAAATGTATATAAAATGATTCTTTAAACCATAAGAGTTTAGTTTAAATCTAAAACTAGGTATTCATTAAATATATTTCACCTACGTCTACTAAAATATCTTTTTTCTTTATTTATGTAACAACTTTAAAGTAACTCAGATAAAACTTGTGTTGAGCAGAATTGGCCTAAAACTTACTTGTAGCCAACCAAGTCATTCAATGGAATATAATGACATATTATGAAATTAGTTATAAATCTTTCCCCAGAACAATTCGAAACGCATAGTTTTAAGATTGATCTCCCTTGTATCAGTATACATCATCATGTATGTCATTAACCCGAATAATTCAGTCCCTCCCCGTAATCGATCTCTCCTACTTGCGAGGGCCTGAATTCCTTACACGATAAAAACTCTTCACAAATCCTGAATTTTGATTGGTGCCCTGTAGAAGAGGTGACCAATCATCAATTAGCTCAATTTTATCGAGATAGGTAAGTCCCGAGCTAATTCCGAATGATTGATTGAAGATTTTTCATTGTCAATGCATTCAGGCATTAATGGAGTAATCGTAGATCAGCGGAATATAACGACTGAATTATTCGGGTTAGTATGTCATGAATTGACCAGCATATCTATAAAGTGTAATATTTGTTTTTAATTATAAGGCAGATTAGTATACTCACTGGTATTCTATAGTAACTGTGATGGTCATATTATATTGTCTCCAAATAACTTCTGTTTTAAAGTGTTTAGAGTAACCTTCACGTGGTATTGTTTACATGTAGCTATGTAACTATTAATCAATATAACACACATGTATTAGCATTTTCATTTAAATTTGACACTACACATGTACACACAATACAACGATTTAAATAACATAACAAGGAAACAAAATACCTTAACAGACATTTGAACTATTTTTCCTATGATTTGAATGGTTTGTTAAATATAAAGGAATTTAGCTCAATACAAAATATATGCATTATGTATTATGATAAAAACAAAAATGCGTACATTTGTAGCAAGGGAGCTACGAAAATAAAAATAAAAAATCGAACTGCAATTAAGGTTCATCATAACAAATGGACAAAAATGGCTGTATTTACACCTCAAAAACTACTCTGTGTACAGACTTACCTGTCCAGTTTGGAAAGTTTTAAGGCCTGGCATCCACTAGATATATAAAAGTTAAATGCATTTTGTGTTTCAGAAAGATGAAATCTTTTTTGGATTTTGATGGCCATTTTTTTTCCTTTCTGCAGAAGGTGTAAAAATGAACTAAGTTGGGATAAAACTTTGAGATGCTCCCTCTCAGGTAAAAACTGTATTGTATTGTATTGATTGTCCTTGATTGACACGGACAATAGACAGACAATAGGTATCTACACAACTATAGGTGAGTTAAAGGGTTTAACTGAGTGGACAGTATCAAAGCAATTCAGGTGTTTGTTTATTTTTAAACCTTCTGCAGAAAGGAAAAAAAATGCCCATCAAAATCCAAAAGTGATTATATCTTTCTGAAACAAAAAATGCATTTAACTTTTATATATCTAGTGGATGCCAGGCCTTAAAACTTACCAAACTGGACAGGTAAGTCTGTACACAGAGTAGTTTTTAAGGTGTAAATACAGCCATTTATGTCCATTTGTTATGATGAACCTTAAGGCGGTGACTAGTGAAAGCAAAAATATAAGACATACAAGCTCTAAAGCTCTACAAGTTTTGAATACAATATAACAGACTATCAAAGTGTATCATGAACCCAAATGTCATAAATAACAAATGTGTAAGGGAGATCTTAAAATAAAACAATATAGGTAAAAGCAGTTAACGTTTTGACCCCAGTATAATGTATAACAAAAACACAAATACAAGTAAAACTAAACAAAATAATACAATTTAAGGAAAGCTCGCAGTTACTGATTACTTAACTTTCCGAGGCTGGTCCCAGTCTAATATCAGCGGCTGTACTAAGGAGTAAAATTCACATTATCTTCTTATTCTTATATCAAAATATCCGGAATATACCTGGAAACACGATCTTTTGTACTGACCAGAGTGAATAATGCAGAAAATAAACAACATTGACTTAATTCTTATTTATGATCAACTGTTGTATTATAGTTCTATTTGTAAAGGCACATCATCCAAAGGTGCTGGGGTTCTTTTAAATAGGAACGAACATACATATTAGTTATAGATAGGCTTAGGGGATTTCACTAACCCTCTATGGATCCGTAGGGGTCAGTAAAGTGAACCCTATAACGAATTTATCGCCCACGGGACTTTTCCTGCCAAGATGTGTATAAAAATAAACAAGTAAATACAATAACATTAATAGATGACGCCATAATCAATATAGTAGACATGACGTCATGATACCGATATGTCATTAACTGAACCCCTACAGATCCATAGGGGTCTTAAGCTTAATTTGTACTTTGATCTTCTATTTTAAAAAAATTATTAATTTGATTTATATATTTGTGTGGTTACGTTGCTGCCCTGCTGTATACACATAATGAAACTTTTGTTCAGGAAATTTCGTCGAAAGTGCAAACATATTTTAAAAATAGTGATAAAGCATCTATTCCAGAACTTGAAAAACAAATTACCTTTGAAGAAATTTGTGAACAAATACATACTCTAAAGTGTGGGAAAGCACCGGGACCGGTTCGTATTAATAACGAAAATATACTATATGGCGGTGATTAAGTGATCAAATGTTTGTGTAAACTTTTTAATATGATCTTGAAAACCGAATATATACCTGTTTCTTTTCGACATGGTATTAGTATTCCTCTGTATAAAGGAAGTAACAAAGATAAAACTAAACCCAACAGTTACAGAGCTGTGACATTAACATCAGTTTTAGGAAAACTTTTAGAAAAAATATTTTTGTCTCGTATTCAAAAGCTTTGGAAAAAATAAACAATGTTGTTCCTCATGGCTTGCAATTTGGTTTCGTAAAGGAACATGGATCGATTCCTGAAAATATTCAACGAAAAAAAGACTTATATTGGATTTATCGGCACCTCATTAAAGTGATATTCATTTTAGCATCAATGAATTAATTGACAAAGATATTTGCTCTATGTCGTACGTCAAGATCGACAACGCTATAGATATTATCCTGAAATACGGGACAAACTCTTGGTTATGTAAGTACGATATTTCCAATGCATTCAAAAATTGTCCTATTTTACCTTCACGATGGCCTTTGTTTTGTATTAAATGGGAGGAAAAATATTATTTCTATGTGCGATTAACTTTCGGTTGCCGATCTAGTCCCATTATATTCGATACTTTGTCACAAGCAATATCTTATATTGCCACAAAAAATTACAAGGTCAATAACATTTTACACCTGTTGGACGATTTCTTAACTATAGATCCACCACACGCTGACGGAGAGCGGTTAATGGCATTAATGATGATGATTTTTAAACGCTTAAATGTTCCAATAGCAATGCACAAAACTGTTGGCCCTGTAACGTTTCTTGAATATCTTGGCATCATTTTCGATTCACAAAAAATGGAAGCTCGTTTACCGCAGGAAAAAGTTGATCGGATTTGTGAGTTTATTTCAAGTATAAGTGTCAAATCCTCTTGTTCTAAAAGAGAAGTTCTACAGCTGCTTGGGCATTTAAATTTTGCATCAAGAGTTATACTACCGGGCAGGTCATTTGTGTCTTATCTAATCAATTTATCAACCATAGCGAAAGAATTACATCATTATGTGCGTTTAAATAGAGAATGTCGGATAGATCTCGAATTTTGGTTACGATTCCTAAAGAATTGGAATGGAATTAATATGTTTTATAATTCTACATTTATATCTAATTACGATATGGAATTATTCACGGATGCATCGTCAACTATAGGTTTTGATGGATATTTTGGTGGAAAGTGGTTTTATTCGTTATGGCCGACCGAAATAAAAAACATCACAAACAGTAAACATTCAATGGCATTTCTTGAATTGTACCCAATCGTTGTGGCAGCTGTTTTATGGGCGCCTCATGGAAAACAAAAAAAGTGTTATTTTGGTCTGATAATATGTCTACAGTCGAGATTATAAGGAAAGGCAGATCAAAATGTTTGTATATTATGAAGTTAATGAGAAAATTAACATGGTGCGCATGTACAAACAACTTCTTTTTTAGTGCAAAACACGTGCCAGGTTTACAAAACGATATAAGTGATGCCTTATCTCGATTTCAGATACAACGATTCAGAAGCCTGGCACCAGATGCAGACCCCCTTCCGGAACCGTGTCCCAAAATCTCAGAAGTAATATGGTGTTAAAACAAACTGTCGTACAAATTATGGACGACATCTATATCTAAAAGGACTAAGGACGTGTATGATATTGGTTTCCTGCATTTTAAGAGATATTTACTGTTAAATAATGTGACATTTACAAATAACTTGGCCCCAGTTTCGGAAGAAATCCTTATATATTTTGTTGCCCATTGTCAAACAGTTCTGAAACTTTATTATTCTACAATTAAACTTTATCTCTGGTGAATCAGGTACAACTATTTGAAGGAAAATTGTAGTGATCCCTTAGAACTATATAACGGCAAACCATTTTCTAGGCTTACATTGATCTTAAATTCTATCAAACGATCCCAAACTCAGAACAAGAGAGTAAGGCTACCAATCACTTTTGATATTCTTGAACAAATTATAAAGAAAACAAAAAGGAGTTTTTTCAAAGTTCATTGACCTCATGATAGAAACAGCTAGCGTGATTTCTTTGTTTGGCTTTCTCCGATGCGGAGAAATAACTGTTATCAAAATCCGAACAATTTGAACCTGCAATTAATTTATGTATATCAGACATTTCATTCACAGACAATGTTGCTAACCTTCACTTGAAACAGTCAAAAACTGATCCATTTCGTAAGGGTATAGATATTCAGTTACACAAAATTAAGCCATTTAGCCATGGAAAGAGAATTCTTTATAACAAAAAATCAGACATGTACTAGAGTTATGCGGTTATGATCCTAAAAAACTTTTCAGGTCATTTATTAGGAATACTAGTAGGTGCTGGAACCGCAACTGCTCAAGCTAACATAGAGGATCACATGATTAAAACGTTAGGTCGTTGGTCTTCAGATTGCTATTTGCGTTATATTCGCACTCAACCAACCTCTATAAAACATGCACAATAGCAGCTTGCTGAATCTGTTTACCATTAATTATATTATAGTCAACTTCGAATTTATGGACAGGAGAACTGCATGCATGATTGCTTTATATGTATATTTTGTTTCTTTTATTTACCTTATTATTGTGTTATTCGTTGACTTATTGAAGGTGATCCCGGGGGATTCCTCATTCTAAATACTTGGGGTCACTCAGACTCATCTGATTTCTAATCACTATTTCGTCAGAGTTTCTTGGCACCTTTTCAAATATTTCACTTATCATTCATAATTTTCATTAATTTTCCAAGCATTTTTCATTTAACATCTCCAACCTCAACTCAACACCTTAAAACATTGTAGCCCAACGTCACGCGGGGGCTGGTCCACTGCCACGCATGGACCGTCAAATGAAGCTTAATCGTTTTGTCATTCTTTTGTCAATTGTGTTTTTCAAGTTGAGCGTAGTGGCTTGTCAGCTGGTGTACTTTCCACGAAAGAATCGCTTCCATACAAAGTCCTGGAGCAAAATTATTCTTCAGATAGTTGAGTGATTTCCCAAGGCCAAACAATTTAATATGTTTTATATATTTAGTACAGAAAATACATTTTCATTTTATTTAGTGTAATATTCATAATAAATATATTACATTTA